CGGCCTTCCTTGGCCCCTCCCCTTGGCCCCGCCCCATCACAACGAGACACACACACACACACACACACACATTCACACTCAGTCACTCACTCTCAATGCACCTCACCGGAATGCCCGCCCTATTTCCTCGCCCTGGCCCGCCCCTTTCCCCCTCCCACTCTCAGCTCCTGCCCCTCCCACCGCCCTTCTGAGAAATGGGCCTGGTTCCTACTTAGCTTGAAATAAAAAGTGACCTTCCAAGGCCTTTGCTGTACTGAGGATCTAGGGAACTCATATGCCCCAAAGTATCAATGTTTCCAGAAGTGCTAAGTCATAGGGTTACTGGAGTTTTTAGTCATTGTAAAGACCTCACACATCTGCAAGACATTTTTAAAGATATATTAGAATTTATTCCAATTAACCAAAATACACTCACAAAAGTGCAGTCAACACAAAACATAAGCCATAAATATCATCATCTAGCTGTCTCACGGGAGAATGTGGTTTGTAAATTGCTTAAAGTTTAGGCACGATGCTTTTTTTTTTATTATTATTCTTGCGGTGGAAATGGGCATCGATCAAAGTTCACCTAAGTTTTTAATTCTGTGGCTAACTTTGTATTCTTATATTCTTATTAGCCCAATGTTCTTATTTATGGAAACTTTACAAAAGCTACCATTGTGGCAGTTTGAGATTGCCTGTATGTAAGCATTAATTCTTCTCCGGGAGTCAAGCAATGTTCTTATAATATCCCTCCTAAATATTGTCTTTGTGGAAGTGGCACTGTGGCTCAAGTGGTAGAGCGTTGGGCCTTGAGCTGAAGAGTTCAGGGACAGCACCCAAGCCCAGAGTTCAAGCTCACGACCAACAACAACAAAAAAAAATTCCTTTGCAACTGAACGTTATACTGTTCTCAATAGTATAGTTTCCAGAAATGTACACAAAATCCTCATTATGATTTACATGAAGATGTTCTTTTATTATTTTTATTTCAAAGTTTAAGTGTTTCATTTCTTGCTTCTGATTTCTATTGTCTCCTTTATTTTTCACTTTATGGTCTTTTGTAATTCTGTTATTTCAAAAATCAATATATTGTTGATAAACCAGAGCATCTGGAAGAGAACAATGAATTTCAATACCTGGATGTAAATAAGTGATACAATACTTCAAAAAATTCTTAAGTTTTAGAAGGGAAATTACCTGTTTCTTAGTTTTGCCCAGCTTTTCCTTCTTTACTGTTTTTTAATTTTTTAAGCTTTATTTAACTGTGCTAGCAACAAGAGAATTCAAATACTTTTTGAATAAAATAAAATCTTTATTGCATAAAAGAAGAAATCATTTAGTAGTATGAATTTAAACCAGATGTGGCTGACAGTCTATTAGAGCTCTGTTAGTTTATCATTTTATATTGGAAATAGTTTTTTTGTTTTTCGTTACTGTACAAAAGGGTTAAAGTTACATGAATCAGGTAGAGTACATTTCTTTTTGGACAATTCCCTTGCTTCTCCCTACCATCCCTGCCCACAAATTGTAAAGTTTATTTTCAACATAGTGTCTAGTGAGTACCATTGCTGTATTTGTTCACCCTTTGTTGAGATAGATTTTTGTTTTTGTTGTGGGGTTTGAACTCAGGGCCTAGGCACTGTCTCTGAGCTCTTTTGCTCATGGCTAGCACTCTACCACCTTGAGCCATAGCTTCATTTCCAGTTTTTGAGTGGTTAATTGGAGATAAGAGTCTCTCAGAGACTTTTCTGCTTGGGTGGGCTTCTAACCATAATCCTCAGATCTCAGCCTTCTGAGTAGCTAGGGTTATGGGCATTAGCATTGAGCTAAAAGGTAATCTGAGTATTGTAGAATTAATTATATGGTTTTGCTAGCTGTAAAATATAAAATAAAAATAGCTGGAAAGTTTTGTTTATCAAATTTTAAGCATCTTTTTATGTTCTCCCCAGTTGTTTAAATATAAACTAAGGAATACAGGCAACATGTTCTACACTCATGTGCTTATGAGTAGACGTGGGCCATTGGCCAAAATATGGCTTGCAGCTCACTGGGAGAAGAAACTCACAAAGGCTCATGTATTCCAGTGCAATCTAGACATAAGCATTAAAAAAATTACTTCACCTAAGGTAGGTTACGGATTATAATTGTTAGTTTATATTTGTCATGATTTGTGGAAAGGAAGGGAATTAGAATGCATATATCATAAAATATACTTCCAGTACAATTTTTGTATCTTTTTTTCCTATTGCATTTAACAACTGAATATAAAGATAATGGATTTATTTCATATATTTATCAAAAATAGATTGGATTCTGAAGGACAAAGGCCATGTATTTTGTAATCCTTTTTTATTCCCTAACAAAATACTATGTAAATAGTAGGTACCTAGTGAGTATTTACTAGGAAATGAATTAATGAATGAGAAGAGAAGAAAGAATTGATTATAACTAAAAGAGTAAAATATTATTATAAAACACTATAAAAAACTACTAGAATTTGCATTAAAATAATCTTAATATTTTTATAGGTTAAGTATTTTTCAGATATTATCAAGTATAATTGAAAGTCTTATATATGTTAGACACTAGTTTAAACTTTGTGTTTATTAATTTAATTTCATCAGCCTGTGAAATCTGCTCTTTTAGACTCATGAAGTATGATGGTTAGTAGGAACTTTTAAGCTGGTCAAATTTATGTTTAATCCTTACTTCATTACTTAACAGTTGCCGTTCTTTGTTCATATCACTTAACCTACCTGAGCCAGTGCTTTTTCTTCTGTAAATAGAAACAGAAATTAAATAATGTAGGCAAAAACTCTTTGGACAATGCTTGACAAAATATAAGTATACAGTAAATTCTAGCTTTTATTTTTTTTTTGAGCATGTAAGTTGAACTCAGAGCCTGGGTGCTCATTCCTGAATTGTTTTGTTTTGTTTTGTTTGTTCAAGGCTAGCACGCTACCATTTTGAACTACAGATCCACTCCCACTTAATTGGAGATAAGAGTTTTAGGGCCTTTCCTGCCTGGACTAGCTTTGAACCATAATCCACAGATCTCAGCCTGCTGAGTAGCAGGTGTGAGCCACCAGTGTCCAGCTAGCATTTTTATTAAACTGAAGTTCAAGAAGGTTAAGTGACTGCTTCAGTAATTGAGCTAATGCTTGAACTCAAGTTTGCCTGACTATAGAGTTTATCTTCTTCCCATAATACTAATAATAACATAGTCGGGCACCAGTGGCTCACACCTGCTCAAGCCTAGCAACTCAGGATGCTGATATTAAGGACCAAGGTTCAAAGCCAGCCCAAGAGGAAAGTCCTCAACACTCTTTTAACTACTAAAAAGCCAGACATGGAACTGTGGCTCTAAGTGGTAGAGTGTTAGCCTTGATTATAAAAGTTCAGGGACAGCACCCAGGCCCTGAGTTCAAGCCCTAGGACTGGCACAAAAATAAAATAAAATAAATAATTGCTTATTTCACTTAAATGCTATATCAGGTTACCTTTGTTGAGTAGCCAGAAAAGTTAATTGTTCTACAAAGTGATGTAAAAGCTAAGTGGTTTACTTTAAGTGTACAAAATGCTTTTTAAAGAGAATAAATTCTTAGACTTTCAGAGTAGAACTTGTTAATCTAATTTTTTATTATTCTACTTAATTATTGAAAGGTGAAAATTGCACTTCGAACTTCAGGACATCTTCTTTTGGGAATTGTTAGGATCTATAATAGGAAGGCTAAGTATCTTCTGGCAGATTGCAATGAAGCATTTCTTAAAATGAAGATGACATTTCGACCAGGTATATGTTCAATATATATTTGTCTCTTCTTGGTTCCTATTTGTGTTTTTGTATGGGGTTGTCTCTTTCCGTGTAATTCTAGGTGAGTATAGAGATTCAGGAAATGTGCTGGACTCATACTGTAATACTACTTAAGAGGCTGTGATTGGGAGGCTGTGATACGGTTCAAGGCTAGCCTGGGCAGAACAGCTCTTGAGACTCCCTTCTCAATTTTGAATCAGAACTGATCATTTTTGTGTTCTTTGTTTAGAATATTTTTTGTAAAATCTCTAGTTAGACTTTTGCTCATAACCAAATATAGTATACTTGTTCATTATTTCATTTATATATTCCACAAATATTTTATTGATCTCATACTCTGTGTCAAATACAGTACATTCTAGAATATTAGGGCAAACAAGTAAGGTCCCTTTCAATCTGGTAAGATATCAAATAATGGAAATATTTTTAAAACTTACAATAATTATAGATTATTGAAACAAAATAACAGACAAGTTCACTTTAGTGGGGATAGTTAAGAAAATAATTTAAGTTTAAGCTTGAAAAATAGGAATTATCCAGCCATGTAAAAAGTCCCCAACATATGACATAATAGGAATATTAAACTGAAAGAGCAAGGTCTTGAGATGCAAAATGTTTGACTTTTTCAGGGAATGAAAATGCCAGGCTGAGAACAAATTGTCCTTAGATAATACTTATAGGTAGAAGAATTTTTTCCGGTTTATTTGCTTTTCTTTTTTTTTTTTTTTTATCTCTAAGTAGTTGTACAAAGAAGTTCCCATTCTACAAAACAGTATATGAATACAAGGTGTCTGACAACATTGTCACCCATTGCTCTTAACCCATCCCTTCTCTCACTTTTTTTTTTTTTGGGGGTCGGGTTGTGGGGCTTGAACTCTGGGCCTGGGCGCTGTCCCTCAGCTGTTCAGCTCAAGGCTAGCGCTCTACCACTCGAGCCACAGCGCCACTTCTGGCTTTTTTCTTTTTGCTTATGTGGTGCTGAGGAATCGAACCCAGGGCCTCAGGCTTGCAAGGCAAGCGCTCTACCACTGAGCCACCTTCCCAGCCCCTTCTTTCACTTTTTTTAAAAATCGAGATTAGGTGATTACATAAAGTTCACATATTTCTCAGTATTGTGGAATAGTGATACATAGTTAAAGTCACAAACACATTTTAACCTTCACAAGGCACATTGTCATTATCATGGTCTATACAGTTTGTGAATTCTATGAGCTTTGACAATACAAATTATTTTTTCCGGGGCTGGGAAGGTGGCTCAGTGGTAGAGCACTTGCCTTGCATGCATGAGGCCCTGGGTTCGATTCCTCAGCACCACATAAGCAAAAAGAAAAAAGCCGGAAGTGGCGCTGTGGCTCAAGTGGTAGAGCGCTAGCCTTGAGCTGAAGAGCTGAGGGACAGTGCCCAGGCCCAGAGTTCAGGCCCCACGACCAGACCCCCACCTCAAAATATTATTTTTTCCATATCAGGTGATGTTTATATTTCTTTCATTTTGCTTAGTGTAGGCTGTTTCCCCTTTCCCTCTCATTCCTCCTCTCCCATCTCTGTCTTTGGGTTGCTTAATAGAAGTTAGAATTTTTTTTTGGGTCCAGTCGTGGGGCCTGACCTCTGGGCCTGGGCACTGTCCCTCAGTTCTTCAGCTCAAGGCTAGCGCTCTACCACTTGAGCCACAGCGCCACTTCTGGCTTTTTTCTTTTTGCTTATGTGGTGCTGAGGAATCGAACCCAAGGCCTCATGCATGCAAGGCAAGCGCTCTACCACTGAGCCACCTTCCCAGCCCCAGAAGTTAGAATATTTTTAATGTACTAGGTAAGTTGCTTAGCAATTTTAAATGTGAATTATCAGATGTGGAGGTGTGGCTCAGGTGGTAATTGTGAGCCTTGAACAAAAAAAGATAAGGGAAAGCCATGAGGCTCTGAGTTCAAGACCCAGTACCCAGACTGAAAAAAAGAAAAGAAAACCACAGGAATTAACTAAATGGTTGCTTTTGAAAACTATTACCATTAGTTGCTTTATAGAAAATGGACTGCAGAGAGGCAAGAGTGGGTACAGGGAAACCAGTAAAGAGATTAAGCAACAGTCTAATGTGAGAGTAAAAGTTTAGTTTTATTTTGCATCATTGCTTATTGAATGTGTTTTTTTTCATATTCTTTTCAGGATTGGTTGATCTCCCAAAAGGGAATTTTGAAGCAGCTTACAATACTATCACATTGCAAGAGGAATTTCATGATTTTGACACCTTTAATATAGAGTAAATTATTTTCCTATTGATTTTCTTGATATTTCACTGTTTTTATATTCAGATCTTGTGAAAGCAAATATAATGTAGGTAATACCTGAGTAAGTACACATATAGCTGACACAAAATTAGTGTGAAATTTCCAAGTTTAGCAGAAAAAAATATATCATTATATTTAATGTTTTTGCAATGCTGACAGTATATTCATCATTCATTCATTCATTGGGTGGCTTTCCTATGCCAGACACTGTTCTAGGCATTGGTAAGATAACAGTGAATAACAAACAACTCCTGGATTCATGGAGTTTTAACATTTTATCTGGAATAGACTTGACAAAAACCAAACAATAAGTTTGGGGCTGGGAATGTGGCTTAGTGATAGAGTGCTTACCTAGCATGAATGAAGCCCTGGATTTGATTCCTCAGTACCATATAAACAGAAAAAGCCAGAAGTAGCATTGTGGCTCAAGTGGTAGAGTGCTAGCTTTGAGCACAAAGAAACTCTGGGACAGTGTACAGGGCCTGAGTTCAAGCTCCAGGACTGGCAAAAACAAACAAGTCAATATAAAATATTCTAGGAGATGCTCAGAGTTCAAATATGAAGAAATGTTAGAAGTAACTAATGACTAATGGGATGGTTTTGAAAAGACTTGCTGATAAAGTAAGAACAGAAACCTGAAGGCGCTAAAGCACTCTGGACATTTTTCAAGGAAAAGCAAAGAGGCAAGTGAGATTGGAGTGTGAACTCATGAGGGAATGAGGTCAGAGAAGTGCCAATGTAGTATGTTGTAAGCTACAATAGGACTTTTTTACTCAGAGAAGAAGCACAGGCAGGTTTTGAATAGAGAATAGAAGAGTGGCTAGATCTGACTTAAGTTTAACGTGTTCCCTCTGGCTGCTGACTAAGTGGGGAAAGGAAGCAGAGAAGCCTAAATGATTATTTCAGTAAGAAGACCAACTGAGAAAAGATTGTTTTTGTGATCAGTAAGGTGGTAGCAGTCAAATTATAAATATGTGTGGAAGGCAGAACCAACAGGATTTGAAATGAATTGGATATAACTCTTAAGAGAAAGAGATGAAAGGTAACTATGATTTTGAGCATTAAAATGGCTTTACTACTTAATGAAATGAGGATAACTAGGGAGTGGCAAATTTAAGAAAGGGAGAGAAAAGGAATGTAACCTAATTGCAACCTAATCCCCAAGGTGATGGCAGTAAAAAGTGGATACTAGATTGTGAAAACCTTCATGGATAGGGTCAATACCCTTATAAAAGCAGTCTGAGGAATCTTCCTTGCACTGTCTACCACCTGAGAATACAGCAATGTCTAGGATGTGTCACTAAACACTGAACCTGTTTGGCACCTTGATCTTGGACTGCCTAACATCCAGAAAAATGTGTAATAAATTTCTGTTATTTATAAATTACCCGATGTAATGTAATTTGTTATAGTATTACCAAAGGCTGAGGAAGACCAAAATCAAGGTGCTAGCCTATTCTATATCTGGTGAAGGTATGGGTATGCTTCCAGGGTCATAGAAGCAGTCTTCTCACTGTAGCCTCATTGGATGAAACGTACAGGACAGCACTCTAATCTCATTCATGAATGCAGAGCTGTCATGACATGGGCACCTCCCAAAGACCTCACCACCTACCAAAAATACCTTTAATTCTCATGTTTCTTCTTGTGTATAACAAACTGTGAGTTAGAAAATAACAAATTTTAAAATTGCTTCAGTAGGAGAAAGAAATATTACTACATTGGATGTAGTAATATTTGTACATTGAATGTACAAATTGATTATGAAACAAAAACTAGTTTGGAGGTGATACAAGCATTCAAACATAGCAGGAGTGAGCAACTCTTCTAAATGCTGTTGATTGATAATACAAGGTCTAAGAACAAATACTGGGTTTGACAACCTAGAAATTATTTGTACATATTATAAATTAGAAGTTTGTTGTATTTATAAATAATACTACTGATAAAATCTCCTATATTTTATAATAAGCCTGACTTTTGTTTTAGAATTTTTAAAGTATGCTATAAAAGTATTGTGTTCTGTTCATATGTTTTCCTCAAACTTATATTTCTCTAGCACTATTGATGTTTCAGAATACTTTACTCAGAACCAGAGCAGACCAGAAGAAATTACACTTAAAGAAGACTATGGTAATTATCTAGTTTTTCAAGCTGTGAGCTTTGGTGAGACTATTTGAGAAATCAGAATTGCAAATCCTAATCAGTTATATTTGCATTTATATACTGAAACAATGCCAGTAGAAGTCTCTATACAATGAAAATTTTTATGTATAAGTGTAGTTTCCAATAAAAAGCTTCCTTGCTTTTTTTAAAATGAATTTTAATGCCAAGACACTCTTAAATGCTTAGCCATGCCTCAAGCATTTTTCTTTGCTGGTAATTTGTGTGTGTGTGTGTGTGTGTGCGCGCGCGCACGTGCATGCACGCGTGCATGCACGCCTGCTAGTGCTGGTGCTTGAACTCAGGGCCTTGGTACTGTCCTTGAGATTTTGTGCTCAAGGCTAGTGCTCTACCACTTGAGCCAGAGCTCTACTTCTAGCTTTTAGGTGATTAACTGAAGTTAAAAGTCTCACAGACTTTCCTGCCTGTGCTGGCTTTGAACTGTGATCCTCTGATCTCAGCTTCCTGAGTAGCTAGAACTACAGGTACAGGCATGAGCTACAGGGGCCTGGTTCTTGCTTGGGTTTTTTTGGTTTTTTTTTGGTCGGTCATGGGGCTTGAACTCTGGGCCTGGGCGCTGTCCCTGATCTCTTCAGTTCAAGGCTAGAGCTCTACCATTTGAGCCTCAGCACCATTTCCTCTTGCTGGTATTTTTAAAGATATCACTTTCTTCTGAATGTGCTTGCGCCGCAGTCATCTTTCTTTGGCTTCTGGTTGTAGATAGGACAACAGTTGTGTGCCAGTACACTCAGCTGTCAGTTGATAAGGAGTTCATGAATTTTTGAGCCAAGGCTGGCCTGGAACCACAAACCTACCAATATCAAGGATCTAGAATTACAGGCTTGAGCCACTGGTGCCATGCATTAAGAAATGTTTATTATCCTGTTCTAGATTGAATATAAAATTGAATATAATTATTGTTTGTTTTCTATAATGTCAGATTATTATTGGGATAAGGGTTTTGCTCCATAGTCTAGGCTGGCCTAAACTTGCTCTATAGCTCCAGTTGACTTCAAATTCCAGATTCTCCTGCTTCAACCTCTTAAAGGCTGGAATTATGAGCACTCACTACCATAACCAGCTTTATTTTAGTTTGTTTTTTTTGTGTCATGCTTAATCCTTAGAATATAGTGGCCTCCTGACTGACCAAGGCTGTTTATTCTTTCAGGAGCTACCAAGTTGCACCTGGATGATATGTACATACTCTCAGTTCTTTCTGAGAATGTCACTTAATGTTTTCCATTGAGCAATTCTTCAATGTAATGAGACTGCTTATTTTCAACTCTTCTGTCAAAACAATGTAGCTTAGCCTGCAGCTGGTGGCTTATACCTATAATCCTATCTACTCAGGAGGCTGAGATCTGAGGATTATGGTTTGAGGTCAGCCTGTTCAGGAAAATCTATGAGAGTTCAATTACAAATATATATATATATATATATATATATATATATATATATATAGCTGTGGCTCACATGATAGAGCACTAGCCTTGAGCAAGAGAGAGAAGGGGGGGCAAGGAGAGAGGAAGATGGGGGGAGAGGAGATGTGAGTGATATATCTTGATTTTCTTTACTGTTGAACACTAACATGTGTTGTTGGAGGGGAGAGAGAAGACCAACATCTGACCTCTGGAGTTTTAGATTCCTAGATTCAAACTCAAGAGAGAAAGTATGAGAGCTGACTTCTGGTCCTCAGAAACTATCAATGTAATGTTGTTGTTATCAGAATGCAGGTTTTGGAGTTACAGCTGCATTCAGATCCTAACTCTGTCATTTATTAGAGTGTGGTGACTATCAAAAACTCTGTGATGTATTTCTTCATTTGTACAATGAAGGTTATAATAGTATCATCTGTTGTACAATCTAAGGCACATAATAAGAACTTAGTTAAATGTTAGCTGGCTGGGTTTGTCCTTTTTATTTGTCTATCTCCACCTTCTGGCATATTCAATAAATAATTATTGAATGAATTTTGTAAGCCTGTTCTTTAATATTTTTCCTACCTTCCTATTTTCTTAGGAAGGCAGATATAGTCTTTATTTTGAAAACTGTAATTATAGTTAAACTGTTCAAGCAATTGTCCTTGAAATGATAAGAAATAATAACTAAGCAGAAATTGACCTAGCTAAAGTACAGGAAGTTACTCTGAGGGTATTGCTACCTTCTAAGAAATTATTAAACTATGCCACAACTATTGGCATTTTTCATATATATATATATATATACATATATATATATAATATATATATATATATATATATATATAGGAGAGTATTAAACTAGAAATCTAGTCCCTACTGATTAACTCAGTGTCTTCAGTTAAATAATTCAAATATTTTTCTGCTTTTATTGTCCTTGTTTCTAACATTAGGTAGATTAGATAATACCTTAATTTCCTTCTAACTATAAAAGTATGCATTTCTATGACTAATAACATTAATGATACATATATACATTTATTTAGGGGCAATAACTGACATTCCCAGAAGCCATAGCATTTTTGGTGACAACATATTACTGAACTCCAGTGGTCCTTTAGTTGAACATAATTCTGGAAGCCTCACTGGAGAAAAATCTTTTATTTATGACAATGGAGATGGATTTGGAGATGAAGGAAGTGCAGGAGAAATGATCGGTATGCAATTGGTCATATAGAAATCAAATCTTTATTTCAAATTACTACAATATTTTAGTGGATTATTACATCAAAACAGATGTTTGTATGTCATGTAGGTTAGCTACTTTTTTACACAAGTTTTCAAGTCTGTGGTATATGTAGGCCTGATAAATAATCATGTGCTTAAACACATTCTCCATATAGGTTGGGAATTACTGCTTGCTTTTATTTTTACAAATACCTAAGTTTTTGGAGGGGAAAAATAAGACTAGTATATCCCTTCTTTACTACCAACTGTGGGATCTTTCTGGTATTATATATTATCTGAAGGAACTTTTCTGGTATTTTATATTATCATTTTTATATTTGTCTAATACTAGTGTAAAATCTTAGAAATGAGGTAGACACAACTGGGGAAATTAAATGTACATAGCTTAAAGATTGTTAACTGTTTATATCGAATGTATTTTTAGTATTGACCCTGAGCAAAAAAGCCAAGCAAGTGTCTGAGGTCCTAAATTCAAAGCCTGGTGTTAACATGGGAGATATATATGCACATATATATGCACACATACATATACACACATACATACATATTAATATATGTATATATACATAATATATAATTTCTAGTTTGTATTAAAAGTTTAGTTATCCCCTTACAATGACTTGCATAAAGTAATGTTAAAAAATGTTTAGTGAACAAATGAAATATTCCAGTCTATGACAAAGGTATTTATTGTGTTTTTCAAGACAACATATTACGAGGCAGTGAGAATAATCTGTTAGAAGAGATGAATTGGAATGAAGAAGTTTTACCGCCTTCTGAGTCTCAGGGTAATATACTAAGTATGTTGAGATTTTTTGTGTGTATTGAAAGTGAAATGATACTAATAGTCAAATGAAACCTAAGAACTTACGAATTTAAGTAGCAACATAGTATAGTGAAAGATAATAAAGAACATTGTTTCTCAAACTCAGTCTCTTAGAGATAATATAAAATAGAAAGTTAAGTGTGAGAAAGGTACAATAAAGGGTATTTAGGCATCATTGGGTTTCATATAAGAGTACATTTAAATATTCAGCCAAAATACAATTATTTCAAATCCTAAAAGTAATATATGCTATATGGTAAGAAAAATTATATGTTGAATTTGTCAATCTACTACAATTTGAGAGAAGTTGCAAATGTGATGATATTTGCCTTACTAGAATTTCCCTAGAAATTCTTACTAAAGTGTTTCAGATGAAATGAGGTCTTTTAGGTTGATTTTTCTTAAGAATTAAAAGCATAATTATAAAGTATAATTAGCCAAATTTTGAGTTTTCACAATTTTTGATGTTATATTTCTTTTTGACACAATAAAAATTGAAAATGTAAAAAGAGGCAAGATATGGATCTTGATGGACCAAGTGATTTAACAAAATATAAATATTCCAGAAGACATATTAAATTTATATGCATCATTTATTAAGGTTGCTCTACTGTTTGTTTGTTTTTTTACTTCTATGATGACTATAGCCCAGTCTTAGATGTCTCATGTGTAAAAGAGAGTGGTTGACTACCTAAATACTATGGATCCCAATACCTGAGCCTCTTTACCCCTGTTTAATATATGATTCTAAGGATTAAGATTCAGCCCCAGTTGGCAACATAAATCTTCAATTAGTTTTCATTTTAATTTTCGTATAGTATTCTAGTTACAGCTTAATCATATGATTTTATACTTTTATGGTGTCATTAATTAGTAGAACCAGATAATCCAGATGATATATATCTACCTAAAAATGAAAAAATGGATGAACCAACATCAAACGAAGAAGAAGAATTTATTCTTGCTCCAATTGATGTTTCAGGTCAGAGGTTTTCATGTTTTTATTTTTATCTTTGTTATATTACTATCTTATTTACCTTGAGATATGTGAAGGTATATGGAAGGTAGTCTAGTAATGGCATTTGTTATATGATAGGAGATGAATGTGAAGAAAGTTTGAGATCAGTCTTTCATTATATTCAGTCCTATTTCATGAATAGTTTGAGAAACTGAAAATTTTTAAACCAGGTCCAATTCAATAAATTATTACTCTGTATTGAACATAGGAATGAAGAAGATATGATTCCTGACTTTAAAATGTTTCAGTCAAGGGTTGGGAAGGTGACTCAGTGGTTGAGTGTTTGCCTTGCATGCATGAGGCGCTGAGTTTGATTCCTCAGCACCACATAAGCAGAAAAAGCTGGAAGTGGCGCTGTGGCTCAAGTGGTAGAGTACAAGCCTTGAGCTAAAACGCTCAGGGACATTGCCCAGGCACAGAGTTCAGGCCCCATGACCGGCAAAAAAATAAATAAATAAATAAAAGTTTCAATTCCTCAGCATCACATAAGCAAAAAGAAAAAAGCCGGAAGTGGTGCTGTGACTCAAGTGGTAGAGCGCTAGCCTTGAGCTGAAGAGCTGAGGGACAGCGCCCAGGCCCAGAGTTCAAGCCCCACGACCGGACCCCCCCCCCCAAAAAAATAAGTCTGGTAGAAAAATCAATCTGCATAGCTTTATTATCTGCCCTGAGCTATGATAATACTAAAGTTTTGGGGAAAACAGAAGTATAAAGTGAGGATGTAGAAATGAACCCCTGGTTAGCCAGCCAACTTTCCTAGCTGCACAACCAGCTCCTTGAGGTCTTAGCATGTTTTTCCAGAATTTTACTAAAATATATCAACAAGCAGGTTCCTGTTCCTCCTGGCTCCATCTGATCTAACATCATCTGAGAAATCTAATTCCTTCTCTTTTCTGCTTTACTAAAGAAAATCTTAAGCAGGGTACCAGTGGGTAACACTTATTATCCTGGGTTCTCAGAAGGCTAAGAAGTTGAGGATTGCAGTTTGCAGCTAGTCTAGGCAAAAAAAAAAAAAGTACGTGAGACTCCATCTCAAAAAAGTGGAGCTGGAGGCATGGCTTATGTGGTCAAGAGAGTTAAGCTATGAGCAAGCAAACCAAGTGAGTACCATGTCTTGACTTCTGCTCTCCTTTTACTGTTAAAATTCTCTAAGAGTTAAATTCCATGGACCTAGCTGCCTACTTTGAGTTTATATATGAATGTCAGTGGTAGAGGAAAATCATACTGGACAAATAAATATTAAGGTCTCAAGTATCCTCTTACATAGGCATTTAAGGGAACTTCTAGATAGGTTAACTTCCCTCTCTTAGTGTAGCCATGCTCAGTTTTCTACTTAGGAGGTCAGTAAAGTCCCCCCTATACACTGTGAAGCAACAGCTTTAAAAACATATCAGCTTTTGGCTGCTAAGGTACTCTACAAAATACTTGCAAAGTCTTTTCAAAGAATAGAAGAAAAATTTCTTTCCAATGAAACTCTGCAGGTGTTTGTGATACATATTTCTTAGATATGTAATGTCTAGTATATTACTTTACAAAGCCCTACAATTTAACACAGGCTTATTTTTCCCTTTCTGTGGTACTGAGATTTGAACTCAGGGCCACCAGCTTGCTAAGTCACACAGCCCTGGCTTTCACTGTTACCTGCTCAGGTTTGCACCTGAGCTGCCACCTAACTATTTCTAGGCTTCTCATCATTGCTGAGATCACAGGTGCATGCCAGCACTCCAGCTTCCCTCTGTAGAAATGAAGTCTTGCAGACTTTTCTGCCCAGAGTATTTTGGAAATGAGATCCTCCCAATTTCAGCCTCTCATTTAGCTTGAGATGACAGGCATGGACCATTGCACCCAACTATGATTTTAGAAGGGGTCTCATGAATTTTTTTTTCCCCTTGGCTGGCCTCAAGCTATTATCCTTCCATTCTCAGACACTCAAGTAGTTAGGATTACAGGTGTGAACCACTAGCACCCAGATTATCTCTCCCCTTCCCCTCCCCCCATATTCAGGTATTGCTGAGAAAAGGAAAAGCAAAAAAAGGAGACTGATCATAGATCCAGTCAAGGAGATCAGTAGCCAAGCTATGCATGACCAACTGAATTCTTTTACTGACACACTCATGGTTCTGGAACTTGCACCTCCTACGCGGAAATTAATGATGTGGAAGAAGAAGGGAGGAGTAGATACACTTCTATCAACTGCTACCCAGGAATTGATTCATGAGGAGTTGAAAATGGTAATAGTTTCCATCCTTTTTACATGAGTGCAATGTTTGTTTACAAATAAATAAATCCATATTTACAACAATTCAAATGTAAAAAAATTAATTTGCTAATATGTATGTATAAATTATAGTTTTTACTTCATCATATATGCTTGTTTTTACTGTTTTGCTTTACTAGTACAAAAACAAACAAAAATGTATGTTTTTACAGTTGTTTTCAAAGTGCTTTCTGTCCTCTGTCCTTAAAATTGGAAGAAAAGTTATACAGAAGGAGTCAGTAAGGAATGAACTGAGAAGCCAAAACATAGGTGAGACTTCCTAATTCTGTTGCTGTGAAGAATTTTGTGGTATCCAAAATCTTATTTTATACTTAAAAATGAAAAGGGTTTCCAATTCCATATTTTCAATTATAAATACTAACTTTAATGAGTATTTGAACTTAAAATATTTATTTTTCTGCTTTTGGCATTAATTTTCACCTCCAAGTCTTCATTAATAAAATCAAACAACCAGGCATGGTGGTGTACCTATAATTCTAGCCACTTGAAAGGCAGAGATTGGGAAGATCATGGTTTAAGGCCATCCAGGCAAAAAGTTAGCAAGACACTCATCCCTCAACAAACAAATTGAGTATAGTAGTTCTTAACTGTAATACCAGCCAAAGGAGACATATGTAGAAAGATGATGGTGTAGACAGGCACCGGTAGCTCACTCCTGTAATCCTAGCTACACAGGAGGCTGAGATCTGAGGATCATGGTTCAAAGCAAGTTCGAGCAGGAAAGTCCATGAGACTCTTAATCTCCATAAACCAACAGAAAACCCGGAAGTGGCACTGTGCCTCAAGAGGTAGAGCACTAGCCTTGAGCTAAAGAGCTGAGGGACAGCGCCCAGGCCCAGAGTTCAAGCCCCACAACTGACAAAAAAAAAAAAAGAAAGATCATGGTGTGAGGCCACCCTGGGAAAGAAACATGAGTACTTCTTTTCAGACCCTATCTGGAAAATAAAGTGAAAAGGGTTGGAGTTGTGGCTCAAATGGTAGTATCTGTTTAGCATGCATGAGGCCATGAGTTCAATCCCAAGTGCCAAAAAGGTATATATTATATGTAATATTATTTATAATATGTATCAGTCATCATATATATCATTTATCATATGTTTGTAAACCATTTTTCTCCTTCTCATCTTCCCCAAAACAGTACTCAGAACTCCTCCAAAAAAGGAGAAAATATTTGTATCTAGAAGGATAATGTTTCACTTTAAAACTACTAAAATAGAAAATCAGATAGGAGTAAGAAGAGTACTAAGTTAATATAATCAACCTGAGACATAAATATTGTCATCCAACTAGAGGATTCCAGGATTATTAATAATTACTGTTTATTGTTGTGACAATTATAAAGTTAAAACCAACTTATGAGATGAGTGAGTCTCCCTTCGTAATAACCTTTCCTGAAAGTATGAGAATATACTGAATATACCACAATGAACTTGACCTACCCATGTTGTTCCATGAGTAATTGTGTGTGATTGAGTATGGAAGAGATTGTTGGCAGAGGATGGAGAATGGAGATGAGTCAGAGAAGGAAAAAAGAAGCCATAGGAAAGTTTGTGCACTAAGCCTATATTCTTGGATTCTAAGTTATCTGTCCAAAGTTTTATTAACAACTATATCCCAGTTCAATATGAAAGTTATGTTTTTTTAAATATTCTTTACTCCCTTGATAATTTAGAAACCTTTATGATGAAAGAGCCAAATACACAGCAAGAATTAGATCAGCTCCAGACATTGAAGGATGTGACTGATGAATGTAAGGGTGGCTCTCATGAGGATACCAATAAAAATATTAACTCTGAGGTAAGATAACCAGAGAATATTTAAAAAAGCAAAACAATGGGTCTGGGAAGGTGGCTCAGTGGTAGAGCGCTTGCCTTGCATGCATGAGGCCCTAGGTTCGATTCCTCAGCACCACATAAGCAAAAAGAAAAAAAAAGATGGAAGTGGCACTGTGGCTCAAGTGGTAGATAGAGCGCTAGCCTTGAGCTGAAGAGCTGAGGGACAGCACCCAGGCCCAGAGTTCAGGCCCCATGACCGGACCCCCTTCCCCCAAAAATTAAATAAATAAATTTACCCATCTACCTCTAAAACAATATCTTTTAGACCTTTATATTTTGCTAATCTTTAATCTGAAAGACTATCTCAAAGTCTATGACAAACACAGAAATAATTAATTTTATTTGGAAATATAATTTTTGAAAGCATAGCAATTTAAACACATAGTTATAAACAATATGAAACAATATGATTTCAAATATTGTCTCAATTCTTACTTTATTAGCTGTATAAATGTAAACACTAGCCAAAAAAAATTAATGCTTTTCTAAAGTTAGTTCTGTCATCACTGTATTTTGGTAACTACCTAAGGAATTCAAAGTTAACCCATATTATCTTTGGAGGAAAGACACTTTCACAGTGTAATGCACTGAATATTACTACAATAGGTTACCAGAACTGTCTTCCTCATTTGGACTTGGACATTTCTTTAAACATACCTATTGAAATTGTGATTAGGCAATCTCTTTTTAGTTTATGATTTTTGGAAGGGAAGATGAGCCCAGTTATCATAGACATATTAACAAAATATATTTTCCTATGTGCTTGAAATGAAAAGAAGGAAAGAATCAATGTACCTGTTTTTTTAACCTTTACTCCTTTACCATATGCCTTGCTTTAATTTTTATTTTGTTGTCAAAATGATGAACAAATAAAATATATAGTGAAATATAGAAACACCATCAATTTTAAAAGCCAGGAAAATTCTGATTAATCATTTTCAAATCTTCACAAAAACAGAATTTTATGTACAGAAACTGCAAATTTGAGAATATCCAAAATGTAGAAAATTCACAGAGAATCAGGGAGAACATAATAAGGTCCCACAAATATAATTCTTTATATTCACTGAATGAATATAATTTGAAGTGGAAAAAAAAGAAATAGTGTTAAGGAAGCTCTTAATGAAGATCAGAGATAGTAACTGGGGAATGAAGCTTGAAGATAGGTTAAAGATGAAAGGTTAAAGATAGGCTGACAGCTGAGCCCCAGTGGCTCACATCTATTATCCTAGCTTCTTAGGAGATCTGAGAATTGAGATTCAGAGTCAGCCTAAGTAGACAGCCTAACTAGACTATGCCAACCCTAGGCATAAAAATCCATGAAATGCTTATCTCCAATTAACAAGCAAAAAGCATGGCTCAAGTGGTAGAATGCCAACCATTAGCACAAAAGCCAAGTGAGAGTGTAAGACCCTGGATTTAACTCCCAGTAC